CCCATCAGCCTATTCTTCCGAAATGGACAGTGTCCGATGGTCCGAAGACCCCACTCTCGGTATGACAACAATGCGTCACGCGGATGGTTTAATCCTTAAATTAGTACACGAGTCAACAGAGAAAAGAATAAGAAAAACCATAAAGAAATTTGAGGCGACAATGTCGATTAGTCAGATGCTTATCTCAACTCTTTATTGTGTTTTTGTTGTTACAACACTCCCCGAAAATCCATAGAGCATAAGTGTCATGAAAAGAACGAGGAGGAGGTAAACTGCCAATTTAGAAGAGCTAATTGTTCCGGATGGGATCAGTTTTCACAGCTGTACCCAACATTGAACACAGCTTGTTATAAGGTCAAAACGTGTCAGTTTGAATTATATATGTCTTTGTTATTAAAAAATACCGAAAAACCTTTAATAGAAGGGCCCGAGGCTGTAAGTTTAAGCTAATGTTTCTCCTATCCAAGATACCAGAAATTTGTGAACTGATAAAATGTTTGTTATATTACGATAAACAATTTATCAGTTTACAATTTTTAGATATCTTTCACAAGAATCCATATAAATTGACTCGAAGTTGAAAGCTAAATGACCCTTCTATTACAGGTTTTACGTATGACTTTCTGTATGTTTTATCCCAGTCATGGGGTAGACTGACTACAGTAATCCCTGAATTCCTATTTTCACAATCGTACTATTTACATCTATGCCACTCTCTATTTTACACATTTTGAAAAAGACGTAATCTCGAAAACATTTTTTTATTCGCACCCTCTTCTGCAAAATTCTAGAATTCTGCCTAAAATACTAACTATTCTAGCGTGAAAATGCATTGAACACCAATTGAGAGAAAAAAAAAACAAAAAAAGGATGTTACCTGAACTCGAACCTCTGGAAGTTGAACTCTCGTTGCTAACGCTTCTCGTGCATAGACATCTGGATAGTGAGATTTATCAAATGCTGCTTCCAATGCATGAAGTTGGAATGTTGTGAAAGTTGTCCGATTTCGACGTTGTTTCTTGTCGATTCCTTTATCTCTTTTTCTGGAAGACTTTGAATGAGCGGCATCAGATTCAATGGACGAATTGAATGATTCGACTGGTTTATAGAAGTTGGAGAGGGCGGAGACTGAAAAACGATATCTATTCATTATGCAATAATTAGTTAAAATAATGATACAACTTACAACATGGTGTATCACTTTCTAGAATATAAGAAGGAGCGATTTTCAAAATTTTCAATTTTCATCCCAAATCACTTCGATTTCCAAAATTTCTGGGAATTTGGAAATTTTACGTGATTCACAGAAATTGAACGTTGCAATTTCTGGGATTTTTCACAGAACTCGAACGGTTCGAGTTCTGGGATTTTGGAAATTCACGTGATTTTACTGAAACTTCACAGAAATTTGGAAATCGAAGTGATTTGGGATGAAAATTGAAA